ATATAACCTAAGTCAAAGTAACACTGATACTAACTTGATTCTTGCAAAGGAGCAATTTCAGGACAGATATCAGGTTTTTCTTAACGCAGAGTGTAATCAATGACAGAAACGGGTTGCCAGGAAGGATGGTAGACACCTAGACACCGGACTCATTTAAAAAACAGCTTGATTCAGTGATGGGAGCTCACATGATGTCTATGATGGGTGTGAGTGGGATTCACTGGAAAAAAATAACTCACTTTAAGAGAAGGTTCAATAAAAAAAATCAAAGGAGGACGACTTACATGAAATCAACAGAGATTAATTTTAGACAATAATAAACCTTGCAATTGATATAGCTCCTTGTCACATCTTCGAGACGTCTCAGAACACTTCACAGGATATACTGTAAAGTGAATTGACTGTATATTTTGTGGGCGAAACTCAGCAGCTAATTGCACACAGAATACCTCGTACAGTACAATACTAGACATGTTTGATATTCTGGAGGAATGAGAATGAGATTGGATGGGTCAAAGGACCTTCGTCATCCAGACTGATCTTGTGAAAAGAAACTGAATGTTGCTTTTTGAAGACATTCACAAACATTGGGGAATCAACTGGCAACTGTGTTCAGCCCATGTTTAATGTCAGATTAACAATGAATTATAGGGAGGAAGAGAATTGCATTGAAATGCTTTCTCTGGGCTCCATGGGATTAATTGTGTTTGTTGTATTTCTACCGAGAAAACCTGCTGTGGAAGTTGCCAGTTTCTCTGCTATTCCTTTAATGGCGCATCAATCCTCAATTTTCTGCCTCTACACATTGTCTCTGGTTTTCGCCTTCAGAGCCAAGTGTTCCCATTCGGTGCTCTCAGCTCTAAAGTAAAATCCTAGTTGCAGACGCTGAAATGCTGCTGTAACAATTCCGAACATTCACTTATAACTTATAAGCTTCTTCTATCACTCCGATAGTAAAGTAATAATTAACTGCAATTACATTTATATTTTCATTGTAGTCAATTATCACGCTCCAAGCCAACGTCAGTCAGAGTATAAAGAGCTATTTGAAGCCAGCAGAATATTCGCAACTTTTACCAGATTCAAAGTAATATGCAACCGCTTTTGAGTCTCCAGTAGTGAGGACCCTGAGAATGAATAGTTGTTGATCTGGCAGGCCCCCCAATGAAAACCCATCAACCTTTGATGTTTGACCCTGGCTAAAGGCATTGAATGCCCTTGGTGTGAGCCTAACATGGATATCCGGGTGAAGAGATTCCTCCTAAACTCCCTCTTAGATCTATTTTTATTTATGCCTCCGCCTATTCACCTGACTCAACAACTAATGGAAACAGCCTACCAATGTCCACATCACCAATCCTTTCATAATCTTGTACGTCTCTATTAGATTCCTTCTCGATCATCTCAACTCCAGAATAATCTAATCTTTCTTGATGGCTATATCCACTCATCCCTGTTAACATCCTTCTAAATCTACGCTGTTCTCTCTCCAATATCCTTCCTGTAGTCTGGCCATCAGAACTGTACAGTATTCTAAATATCATCTAACCAAGTTTTTTTAGTATAAATTTAGAATTCCTTTCCTGCTTTTATACTCTCTTGCTCTGGACGTAAACCAAATGACTCTATTTGCATTCTTTGTGCACCTGAGCTGTTACTTTTATAATCCTGTGAACCTGAATTCCTACATTCTTTTGCTCCTCTATCTCTTTCTCTCAGTTTCCTAACATCCAATGTATAGTCCGTTTCTTTATCCTTCCTGCCAAAGTGAATCGGTTCATCTTTCCTGTGTTAAATTTTATCTGCCACCTGTCCGCCCAGTCTGCAAACCTATTTATGTTTTCCTGCATCTTTTTTGCAACCTTCTTCATTGTTTACCACCCCTCGGTTTGATGATATCTGCGAATCTCGACATTTTACCTCCTATATCTAGGTCCAAATCACTTGTGAACAACAACAAAGGTAGCGTCCCAGAGCGCTTAGTGTTGCACGTTACTCGTTATTATGTTTTTCATTTTATAATTTTCTGTATTCTAGAAATACACCAGGAGATATTTCTTTACAGAGGGGTCGGTTCATCTTTTTATTTCCCAATTCCATAGGACGGGTTACCAGGAAGGGTGGTAAAAGCCAGGACACTGAACTTATTCAAGGACGAGATTGATAATAAAATGGGCCAGACAGTAATGTGGGTATCAGTGGTTAGAGCACTCACCTTGCAAGCGAGAGGACCTGGGTTCGATTCCAGCAAGGGCAAAACGTTAAGCAAGTTTCCTTACTCCACACACCTCTGTCTACCTAGCTTTGAGACGTCTCGAAGACATGATAAGATTCCATATCAAATACAAGGATTATTATTATTATTGTTGTTTAACGCTGACCTTGTCTGAGAAGCTCTTTGGCAACCGAGACCTTCCTCGCTCTGATTAGACAGATTGTGCAACGAACAGCACAGACTCACTGTCTCCCAGTTTGAACGTGCTGCACGAGAGCATTGAAATATGAGGCGTGCATTGCAGCAATTGCGCAGTGTGCCTCCTTCGTTTGTTATCGTTTGATCAGATTTAATGCAAATTTCTTTCTGAGCAAGTGAGAGACTCATGCAAACATTGGCCTCTATTGTTACTTGATTGATGTGAAAATGTAGTGTAACCGTTCAGCCTGATAAGCACTCATTGTACACCCAAGCGACGGCCCGTGAATCTGTTTTGTGCTGGCTTCTCTTTCGAGACAACTACCTGCCCATTTTTTCCTCCATTTCTCTCATATAAATCTGCTTTATTGAACCACTGATCTGCTGCATGGAGGGGACATTTAGCGGACGTGTTCCAATAACAACAAGATCTTGCATTTGTGTTGTAGTGTCTCAGAGCCCTGAACATTGGCGGAGTTTATCACCAAACCAGGGGAAAGGGGAGGTGACCATAGATAGTTACGGACAAAGCATTTTGGGAAGGATTTGAAGACTAGGAAATAATATAATAATAACGTAAAGAGGGGGTAATGCAGAGGGATTGAGTCAAGAGTTTTCCAATAGGTACAGGGCGTAGTGGCTGAAGGCGTGGCCGTCGATGGTGGAGCAGAGGGAATCCAGGGACGGGCAGAAGGCCCATCCCGACCAAGCGAAGGGGGTGAGTAGCGAAGTGGGGTGTGAGCAAGTTGGAGAGGTATAGAGTTGCTAAGGCATGAGGTGATTTGTAGGTGAGCGAGAAGGACTTTTGACAGGGAGCCGGTGGAGCATGGAAAGGGCTGGGCTGATTAATTATTAATATTCAATAATAGTTATTACAACAACAACAAACTTACATTTATAGAGCACCTTTAACATCGGGAGAACATCCCAAAGTGCTGAACAGTCAGATGTTGGGGCCCGAGCACGGGGGAGGGGTGGTGTTGGGGTGAGGGAAGGCAGAGAGGTGGGAGGGAGACCAAAGGCACAATCAAAGAGAAAGGTCTTGAGACCGACCTTGAAGGATGCGAGGGAGGAAGCGAGGAGAAGGGACCGTGGGATGGAGTTCCAGAGTGTGGGGGCAGAGAGGCTGAAACCCCGGCCACCGATGGAAGGGCGGGTTGGGCGGGAGACATGGAGCAGGCCGGAGCCTGATGAACGGAGGGAGCGGACAGGTTGGTAGGGAGTCAGCAGGTCAGAGGGGTAGGAGGGGGCAAGGCCATGGATGGCCTCAAAGGTGAGGACAAGGATCTTGAACTCGATCCTCTGGGGGATGGGGAGCCAGTGGAGTCAGGCGAGGAGAATTAAATGATACAGTGGATTGGACAAAGCAACACTCAAATATAACGCTTTTCACGTCGGGAGGACGTCCCAAAGCACTTCACAGAACACACTGTAAAGTGAATTGACTGTATATTTGTGGGTGAACGCGGCAGCCAATTGCGCACAGCAATGTCCCACAAACAGTCGTAGATTGAAAATGACCAATTTTTTATTGTTTTTGGTTTTGGAGGGATTATTATTAGGCTCTGTGTGGAGTAAGGAAACTTGCCCAAGGTTTCGCCCTCTGCCTGGAATTGAACTCGGGTCTCTCGTTTGCAAAGCGAGTGCTCTAACCACTGAGCTACAGGACTCCACAAAGAGAGGAGAGGAACGCATTAATGAGCACAGGGCGGCTGGTTGGCTCTTTGGTGGTAGTTGACGCCCAAACTAAAATGCATCTGACAAGTCAAAAATTTTAATTGAAGTTGCACAATGTGTCAATCTTATCAGAGATTAGTGCCTGTTCATTGACTTTGCTAATCATTTCAATTATCCCTGCCATGACTCTAAAGCTTTCAGAAATGCACGTCAGGAGGGAACAGTAAATGGATTTGCAGGAGGAATATTCTGCGGAAAGTTAGCAGAACCAAGGTCTCCTTAAACAGAATGACAATTGTTGCGATGTCAGCTACTGTCTTTGTAGAATCATCATGTTCTTACCTTTAACCTCTGATAACCGGTTTCTCCTGGAAAATGAAGATCTTTTTGGTCTGGGGGGCAAAGTTCCGAAACCATATTCTCCGTGGTGACTGACGTAATTCACACCGATGTGTATGTCTTATTTATTTCTATTTTTGTGGTCATCAATGCAAGGCTATTGGATATATCGTCAAGGTCAGAAGCAGCACAGTTCCGCATCTGTGCTTTGTCTTTGTGAATCCAAAGGATGCACCCCTCACATGTCAATGTGTTTTTGATTTTCCTTACGTGTCTTATGTCCATCTTTGCATTTTCCCATCGTAAGAATTCCAGCTTAGAGCCAGGCTGTGATTTTCTTTGGTCAGCCAGGTATCTGACACATGCGGAAATCCAGCACCATGCTTAGGAGTATCCAAATCAAGGTGAGATTTCGAGCAGTGTTGCACTGTGCATCCACAAGGACCGGGAACTGAAATCAGACTGCCCCAAACACATTTCACTTAGTATAGGGCCCATACAGCTAGCAGACAGAGGGAGAAATTAGGCGAGGCTGGATTCATTTGCAGGCCTGAGGGGCAGAAGGATAAATGTGCCACCTGTGCCTCCCTGCAATGTGATTCTCATCTTGCTTGCCTTCATGCAGATGAGCTGAATAGACTTTGATGCCCTACATCCATATTTATGACAGCGCCTCTGTGTAATATGCATGAAGTGTATGTGAAGTGGAAATAACAAAACCATTTGCATAAAGTTAGGACATTTTTCTATTCCATAGTATTTTCTATTACTCCTATATAAGGCTACATCGGTCACTGATAAAATCTCAATATTTGATCTGAGGGAACGAGGTGTTATAGAGCTCTACTGTTAATTGTTGATGTTTTCCATAATGTATCCAAATTGTGCACTTAAAAGGGACTTGGATGTGGATCAAAGCAAAACTGGTGCTCTTCCAATTTCAATTTGTGGGACACTGCTGTGCACAATTGGCTGCTGCATTTCTCCCATAAAATATGCAGTCAATCCGTTTTGATCGTGCAGCTTTCATGGAGTCCTGTAGTCAGGGGTTAGAGCACGCGCCTTGCAAGTGAGAGGACCTGGGTTCAATTCCTGGGCAGGGCGAAATGTTGGGCAAGTTTCCTTACGTCACACGCCTCTGTTTACCAAGCAGTACGTAGGAACCCGGTTGTTAGTCAATTGGCGGATCGCTTTTTCGGAGGTAATAATTCATTCAAAAAAATAATAATAATAAATTGGTGACTCAATTCCCGGCACTGTGGGAATTGAGCTGCCGGGTTTCGCCCACAAAATATACAGTCAATTGACTTTATCATATATTCTCTGAAGCGCTTTAAGACGTCTCAAAGGCGTGATAAGGTGCTATATCAAATGCAAGGATTATTATTGTTATTATTGAAAGAAATTCAGGCAAAAGACACATTTGAATAGGGTGCGAGAAGAAACCCTATTCTCTGTCAATAATAATAATAATGCTTGCATTTAGTATGGGCTTTATAATGTCTTTGAGACGTTTCGAAGCACTTCATAGAATATACTGTAAAGTGAATTGTCATCCATGGATGATGATGATGATGATCCTCAATTACTCTGTCTTAAGATCATCCAGTGTCAAGTCCTATTCCACTAATGCTATTGTCAACGTGATCTCACTGACTGTTATTTAATTCTGCCTCATTCCCAAGAGCCTTTCATTCATTCGAACCTCAGAGCTTGTGTTGACTGCTCCGTGCCATTCTCACACTGAGCTGCTTAGCTCTGGTGTACAGGAAGAGCACAAAAGCTGACACCGTTCACACTTTTTAATGGCAAACATCACACTCGCACCAGTCAGAGAGAAGAGAATCTGAATGTTTTTTTTCCCTTACCTGGAAAGGAAACTGCCTGTTGCTTTTGTTTTAAAGGGGCATCGATTTGATGAAAGCCTTTGGCAATGGTTATTGATGGGGGAGGGAGATCAGGAGATTCAGGAGTACGCATAGAATTCCTTTACACCACAGTTACGCACAGTGATTCACATCATCATCTTTACACATTTGCAAAATGATCCATGGCTGAACCGGGCGGGGACGAAGGAGAAGGGGGGAAAGATGGCACTCTTGCTCTATCCCTCCGCCTTACCCCTTCCTTCCCCATCTTCAGATCACACCTGAAGGCCTTCGTATTCCACCGCGCCTAAGTTCACCCCCCCACCCGGCTTTGCTTCGTGCTCTGTCACCGTTAAGCGGAACTCTACCCTGCGCGAGAGGCGCTATACAAATGCAAGTTGTTGTTGTCAAAGAGGAACGTCTTGAGCTTTTTTGGGGGGAGGGTGGGTGGGGGGCGCGGAGAGTCGAGACCACACCATGCGGCTTCTTTTCTGAGGGGGTGAAAACAAAAAAAAACCTTCCGATTTTTTTCGGTTCGCTCAAAGGCCTCGCGGATGAACAAGTGATCTGAGGTCCCAGGTGAAACGGGACACAATTGCCTTTTGCGGCACTTGGCAGGAAAAGCAATAATAATAATAAGAAGAAGAAAATCGGATTCAATTGCAATCAGCTAATCTCGTTCTGGCTGGAAATTGAGCTGTCAACACTAAGCAGCGGAGACTGCTAGCTCACTTACTAACCCCATCTTGCCTGAGATTGAAGGCAGAACAAACCTTCTCTCCGTGTAATTTTCCAGTTGAATTCAATTATTTAGTAGTTCGAAGCTTAAGCTCTTGCATGGAGGTGGTTGGGGGGGGGGGGGGTGATAAGGCTGAGGCTTTCGGATATCATTTCAGGAGGGAAGGAATACTAAATGAACCCACGCTGGCCAAAAAAAGGAAAAAAAAAATCGGTGACATTTAACCACCGCTGTTTTGTTTTGTTTCACGCCCAGCGATAGTTAGCGGGCTGTCAGGCTCGCAGGCTGCGATGTCTCCCCGGATCAGCGCTGAGAGATTCACCGGTCAATCCCGCAAACAAGCAGCGACAGCTCCCGTCATGTACCTCTCATTCCAGGTCCCACAGCCCAGCCCAGCCGTTTAGGTGCCATCGAAACTATGGGATCGTCACGGTCGTGTACCAACACTGAGCGCCCGCTGATACTTTAAAAGGATCATCAGCCACCTTCACAAAATCAACCTTTGTCAAACCCTTTACTTGTCAGTTTAGAAACCCGTTGACGTGAGCGAGGAAGTGGCAATAAAAGAGATTTTGCACACAAAATACACAGTCAATTCACTTTACAGTACATTCTGTGAAATGTTTTGAGACGTCTCGAAGACGTGATAAGGCGCTATATAAAATGCAAGGATTCTGATTATTATTACACGGCAAAAGCTTAGACAGGTTTCCTTACTCCACCCGCCTCTGTTTACCTCGCGGTGAGTAGGAATTGATTGTTAGTCAATTGACAGATCGCTATCCTGGTGTTTTCCGCACAGTTATGATTTTTTTAGGGGAACAGAAGTGCATCAAAGGGATGGTGTCAAATCTAAGTGACTGGATAATGTTTTTTAATGCCATTTCCTGGTCACATTTTCCTACAAAATACGGTCAACCCCCCAAAAATTCCCCCACCCCCCCAAAAAAATACAGTGAATACTGAGAAGTGCTTTGAAACGTCCTCCTGCTTTGAAAGGAACTATATTAAATGCAAGAATTACTGTATTATTTTAACAGATTGATCAATCACTCACCTCATGGCCTTTTTTGTAGGACTTTGCTGTCACAAATAGCTGCCGGGTTTACCTGCAAAAGAAAAGTCTCCACACTTGACAATAATTACTCTTTCGCTACTAAAGTCTAATAGGATTCAACTACACACTGTTTAATAGACTAATCTTCCCTCTACTTGACTTCACTGGAAAGGGAATGTACTGGTGCTGATAAACACAGGCAGTAAATAGATCTTTCCCTCACAAATTATTATCTTGAAATATTTAGCAAGTTGTTTTGTAATGTTATGTATTCAAGCTGTAAATAACAATGCAGCCTGTGATCCAAACTACTCTTCCCTGTGGGAGGAAGGCTGCAAAACAACTGGTTACACAATGTACAACTGTGCCAATTTCTTTTAATTTGATTATCAGTAGTCTAGACCTTATCTGCAGCTCATTCAGGAGGTATTATTCCAGCCAAACTGTGTCTGTGAAAGCGGGATGGAGGATGGAGGAAACGGAGACAGGAGTGTGTTCCCAAAACACTGCCAGACTTCAGCGTTTCAATAACTGGTACAATCTGCTAGTCAATTGTAAGGCCTAGTATTAACTCTCATTATCATGGACCCAAGTTAATGTGTTTTTATAAAGCTGCTGGTTGCCTTGGTATTGCACTTAGAGTGTGTAGAACACAGGAGCGAGATCTGCTGCAGTGGAGTGCTGACAAAATTGAATTGGGCTGATCAATGAGGGCAGGTAGAGTGTACATCAAAGGGATCTGACAATGCTTTTAGTCACATTTAGCCTCTTGGAGACCAGTTCCAGCACCACTTTGCAGAGCTCTTTCTCTGGTGATCACGACTGGGATTCATTCATCGGAGATATTCTCTGCACATTGCATGACCACTACCATTTTCTACATTCGCAGCATCAAGCTGTTTGTTTAAGTGAATCCAGAACGCTGACCTCAACAAACCTTCCTGCTTTAATAACCATCAATGTCTCACCACCATATCAAATCATAACCTCTGAGACCTGTGATGCCAGGTTAGTCCAGTTGCCCCTCATTATGTTACAGCGAGCACAGGATTTCTATGTGGGTTCCCTATCAGTACTCTTGTTTGCCATTTTGATGCCTAAAAAACAGCCCTAGAGATTGACCAGGTATCCATGAGGCCAATCTCCAAGTCAGTGGCTTCCAGCCGGATTTAAAGTCTGGCCTTTGTAAAGTTATAACCAATTTCAAGCCAACTTTCTGAAAGGTCAATGAATCGCCCACCCTTTTATAAAACTCAGTGAGTAATTCCAACAATCCTATTCATTCTCTCTGGCTCCTGCCTGGTGAGAGCACACTGACTGGGACTGTTGACGGCAGACGGCGAGCCATCCGTAAAGTGCCCCGAACCTCGAGGGTTTTCATATTGAACTCCGCAGGACAATAAAAGGGAGAGAGGCCATTGGAGATTGCACAGGGACACAGCAGCATCGATTGTCACTCGAGGAGTGAGCTGTTCAGATCGTACTCGAGACTGACCTGAAAATCAGTCTCCCTCTTCTCATTTGGCCAGCCAGGATTGCGAATTCAATGCCTAAAAGACAACTGATTTGTATTTAACTTGCTTTCCTAAGCGTTATAAGAAAAAAAACGGAAATGTTTGTCGCAGGAAATTGGATGGGTCGTTCGATGGACTAATAGATCTACTTTCTGCCTGAAATTGTTATAGTTGTGTTCGGCTGCTGTTTTACATCAGCTTGTACCCAAATAAGACTGAAAATAACAGAGTCTAAATATTGGTTCTAGATATAGATATTGCACTGATTAACCAGGCTTTATATATATATAAGGTTCAGTGCATTGCTGAATTTCTACTGTCTTCAAATGCTGAACCTACTCCCCAAGCAAGCTGCTACTTAGTCAGTTTGCTTTCTCTTGTGCAATAACGGAAATACTTTCCGTAATTAGGTAAGTAGGCCTTGTAGGAGAAAGAGAGATTGAGAGAGCGTGCGCATTCCATTCCAACCATCCATCTCTGGAATTGCCACGTATTTAAGTGCGCTGCATGGAAATCTCAGCTTGGTTTGGATGCTCTTAAGCACGGTGATGGGTTTCCCCATGTATCAATACGCCCGACTGACCAAAACAAATGAGCTAAGGGTGAAAATTACACTCAGTGTCACATGCAGTGCCTTTGGTGATGCACGACTATAATTGGAAATTCCACCTGGGGGCCGATATTACCAAAGGCGATGGTCATAAGACTGAATGGAATTTTTTTGGGACTTAACAGCAGGTGAAAGATCCCCTGGTGAGAAAATTACTCTCTCATTTCTGAGAGCCGAGTCCAAACTAGCAATGCTGAGCTCACTGCGCCCAACCACTTTATCACTGGTTATTGGAAAATTTCATTGAATTGGCTGCTAGGAAAGCTATCTGATACAGCAGAAGGTCTCCAGCGTGGAGGAGAATTGTGTGGTGTAATATGAAAGTCAAAGTTGCGGGTCAGAAGATTGTGCGTTACACAACTACCAAGAGGCCGGACAAGGAAGTCGCGGGGAAAGACGGGTAAATGGAATAGTTTTAAAAGCTTTCCATTTTCAGTGCTTCTGGGACGATGATAATTTGGTCCCTCAATCCACGACTGTTTGTGGGGACGCTAACGTGCACAATTGGCTGGAGCATTTCGCCCACAAAATACACAGTCCATTCATTTTACAGTATATCCTGCGAAGCGCTTTGAGACGTCTCAACGACGTGATATGACGCTGTATGAAATGCAAGGATTAGTCTTATTTTATTTTTCTCTCTGGCTACATCGTCAATATCTTGCTGAAGTAAAAGCAGTTCTGTGCTGGGAATCTGTTGGTGACTCCATCCAGGGTTGAAACTGTCCCCAAACTCATTTCACTCAAAGTATCTGTTCATCGCAGCAATGTGAACTGAAGTCGAGGGCACCTCCCCAAAGGTTAAAGACTTGTGCACTAACCCACTGAACTAACCAGGTTCCCAATGCAAATCCTATTGGGATCTGCTGTAGTACAGTTTGCTTTGCAGGCACAAATGTGGCATTTGGGTTTGCAGTCAGTCACACCTCCCCTGGGGAACTCAATCCAATTATCTGAAAGTAGAGCATAGTCCATATGACTGGCATAATGCACTTTCTGTTACCCAGTGAAGAATATTTAAGAGCCTTTGCGAATCCGAGTTACAACTTGCACCATTTAGTTGAGGGTCAACTGAGGAGCTTACACAGTCCTGTAGAATTGGGGAGCCCTGTGCGCTGAGAGGGTTGAGCGCCCTTGAACCCTCTGGTAAGAAGTCCCTTTGTGGAGTCCGGTAGTGTGGTGGTTAGATCGGCCTGGGTTCGATTCCCAGGCAGGACGAAACCTTAGGTAAGTTTCCTTACTCAACACGCTTCCTTTTACCTAGCGGTAAAGTAGGAACACAACCGTGTTAGTCGTTTGGCGGATCGCTTTCCGGAGGTATTAATCCTTTCAAAATAAAAACAATAATAATTTGGTCACTCAAACTGCGGCCTTTTGTGGGACACTCACTCACTGCCGCATTGTGCCCACAAGATACACAGTCATTTCACGTCACGGTAATATTTCTGTGAAAGCGCTTCGAGATGTCTCGACCGTGCGATAAAAGGGCTAAATCAAACGCAAGAATTCTTTTTACGATTAGCATTATTATTAAGCCGGGCCTCGCCGCACACTCAAAGCTTCACGTCGAAAGCACTTTACACTCTGTTCTCGTTCATTTCAGGTAAAATGCCAGCAGCTCCCCACTGCTTCTAGGACTATGCTTATTTCCCCAGCATGGATGCAGCCATGGAGTTGGAGAACGATGACAGAGTGCTCGAGACTACGGACGGATCGTCCACTCTGAACGAAGGATGGTACATGTCCTATCCCATGAGTTTCCAGGTCTCCCTGACCAGCTTCCTGATGCTGGAGATAGTGCTGGGTTTCAGCAGCAACCTGACTGTCCTGGTCCTCTACTGCATGCAGTCGAACCTGGTGGATTCGGTCAGCAACATCGTGACCATGAACCTTCATGTCCTGGACATCATCATCTGCTTGGTGTGTGTCCCGTTGACCATCATCATCATCCTCATGCCCCTGGAGCAGAACATCGCCTTGATCTGCTGCTTCCACGAGGCGTGTGTGACCTTCACCAGCATCGCCACCGCCGTCAACGTCCTCGTCATCAGCCTGGACCGGTACGACATCTCGGTCAGGCCCGCCAATAGGGTCTTGACTCCGAGCAGGACCATCTTGCTGCTGGTGTCGGTCTGGCTGGTGTCGTTGATGGTCTTTTTTGTCCCCTTTATTGAGGTGGAGTTCTTCTCCGACTCCGACCACAGCACCACCTGGCAGAACCAGACCCTCCTGTGCGTCAGCACCAACGAGTACCACAGGGAGCTGGGCATGTACTTCCACCTCTTCATCCAGATCCCCAGCTTCTTCGTGGCGGTGGTCGTCATGTTGATCACCTACTCCAAAATACTCCAGGCCCTGAACATCAAAATCGGATCGCACTTCACACGGGGCCAGAAACGCAAGTCTAGAAGCAAGCAGCAGAAGAAGAAGAAGAAGGCGGAAGCTGCCCCGTTGTCCACGAGCTGTCAGTATGAGACCAAACGACTGACCACCCCGGCTCCCCAGGCCGTGCAGAATCCGCCTTTGGGGGTCTCGGCGTCCGTCTCCGTCATCATCGCGCTACGGCGGGCGGTCAAACGCCACCGCGATCGACGGGAGCGTCAGAAGCGGGTCTTCAGGATGTCCCTGATAATCATCTCCACCTTCCTGGTGTGCTGGGCTCCGATCTCAGTGATCAACCTTCTCATTTTGTGTCTGGGACCGAGCGACTGGCTGGTGAAGCTCAGGATCTGCTTCCTGGCCATGGCTTACGGCACCACCATATTCCACCCTCTCCTATACGCCTTCACCAGGCAGAAACTCCGCAAGGTCCTCAAGAACAAGATGAAGAAGAGGGTGGTCTCCGTGTTGCAGGTAGACCCAGCCCCCAGCGGGACAATTATACACAATTCCTGGGTGGACCCCCGCAAAGCGCGGAAAGTGAAACTGGAATGCAGTGATGCCACTGACCGCTGCCTGACTGAGGCCGTCAAAGAGTGACTCGTTCCTGGTCCGTTTCGAAGGCTCTATCAGGCAGACATTTACCGCCGCACCACCTGTAAGCTCTAGTGGTGCAAGAATTGCTTAAATCCGTGCTTTACTCCACCGTTAAGGTTCACTCACAAGTCCGAGATACAGTAGTTCCTAGATTAGCGCAAGCTGACTTGAAATTGAGCACATTTAGTGTCCAATTACCTGAGTAGGCAGCAGATATAAGCCATGTTTGAAGCCAACGTTTGTACTTATTGTTAGAGGAAGGGATACAAATAGGATTATTGCACAGTGTTCAAAGCTTGTCTGCCTCAGCTGTTCCAATAGTCTTAGTCTTAAAGCAAATTGGATGAAGTCCAGCACAAACCGATGAATAGAACTGGGTAGAAATGAACAGGATCACCATTACCAGCGAGTTAGAAGAGCAATAGATCGAGTTGGTTTAGGTTAAACTTACCTGTCTATTTTCCTTAATCAATCGCTTTCTCCCAAGGAGAAGGAAGCCATCCCATAATGTCCCCATCTGCTAGTCTTTTCTACTTAGTGCGTATACCAATGTAGGTTTTAGTTCGAGACAAGAGTGTAGGATGTCCAAAGGTCTCCATGGCAATGGGGTGAATTGTTCTATAATTTACAGACAAAAAGGCGTGTGTTTGTAGAACGGAACTGGTTCTCTTCCAGAACCCTCGTCCATTTCCCTACTATCAGAGGAGATACTCATTGCACCCGTAAAACTGACAAAATGTCTCCAGTGTAGCTAGAGCATGTCAGCCAACATGCGGTGTGCACGCAAAACCTACTCTTTATCACAGACGCAACTCACCACGTTCGTATCTCCTGGGGTCAGTATTGGCTTTGATTGAACCCCAAAGTCAACAAAGCAAAAATTCCAGAACCCTTACGCCAACTGTTCAGTTCTGACCTACTTCCTTAAGAGTAATGTTTAATTCCCTCTGCCAAACACAACCAAGCGCTCCGGGATGCTAACCTGCGTGAAGACCGCTATATACGTGCAAGTTGTTGATGTTGTTGTTGTTGTTGTTGAGCAAACCACTGGCCAGAGGACATCATGTGGATTCCAGAAATGACAGCATTTTTTTTAAATGAATGAATTCTACACCGATAATTAAGCAGCATTTTTCAATTTTTTTTAATCGATTTTCACTGTTACATATCTTTGTTTGGGGGTGGTGGTGGGGGGGGAGAGGGGGGGATGGTGGGGGCAAAATTAAATCGATTTTTTTTTGAAAAATAGCTACTTTCACCCAAATTAAATTCCATTTTTTAAACTTCATTTCTTTATCTCTGCACCGCCGTTTCTGGAATGCAGCGCCCAATGCAATAGATTACGCATTTACATTTACACAGCGCCTTTCGTGTCATGTCGGGAGGACGTCCCAGAGTGATTGATTGTGTATTTTTGCGGGCAAAATGGGGCAGTCAGTTGCGCACAGTCACGTCCCACAAACAGCCATGGAGTGAGTGACCAATATTATTTTGGGGTGTTGGTCCGCCAGGACACCGGGAGAAACTCCGTCCCCTTTTCGAATGGTGCCATGGGATCTTTAACATCCATCTGAACGGGCAGACCTCAGTTTAACGTCTAATCCAACTCAGGACGGCACCTCCGAAAAATCAACACGCTCCCAGCACTGGTTTGGGGTGTCAGCTTAGACTATGTGATTCGGAGTCCCGACGTGGGGCTTTAACACACAATCTTCTGACCCACAAACTTCATGTGTGCCATCCTTTCTAGTATCTTTGCTATAACGTGTGATTAACCGAAAGTTAACTATAAAATCTCAGATCGGGTGAGGGGGTTGAAGGACCTCAAGTTTGACCGGACATTGGAAGATAATGGGAATAAAGCCTAGCAGCAAATAATTCTTATGACACGATTCGACTATATTCCTTCCACCCCCCCACCTCCCCGCCCCCCACCCCCAAGGTTTTGTGTCGCACCTTGAGACATTTTGAAATGAAATAAAAATGCCATTTTCCCGGCACGATGGCAAAAAGATTCTCGAGTTCTGCCCATCCTGTGCACAAGAGAGCGAATGCCGTTGCCATTGGTAACCACTTTAAAAACGTTCTGCTTTAGGAGCTGGCACTATCTCTCTACCCCCAGCCCCCTCCCTCCCCTCCGCACGCAACAGGAGTCCACTGCACCACCTCTGCAATGTAGAGACGTGGAGATGCCACCAGGTCAACACAATCGGTGTCTCAAACCAGCACGACTCTTCAAATAGTATTTGCAGAAGTAATAAGCAGGATCCAATCTCGCCCAGCAGACTCTTTGCTTCTCTCTCTCTCTCTCTCTCTCTCTCCGTGCCTCTGGCCTCGCTCAAGAACGTGATTTAATTCGGTTTGTCCCCATCACACTACTACCTTCATGCTTATGTTTCTCAGGGGCTGACAATTTAATTCCTGCTTTGGAATTCTTTCTGGCTTGTGTTGAAAGACTCTGTGCAAGTAAGGTTTCTATTGAACTTTGCCACCAGCTGTGTGTTATTGCTGTTCTTTTGTTTGTGTGAATCCCAGCTACGAGGAAAGTTGATGTGAATCCTGCCTGATATTCCTCCCACATCTCGTTCGCTCCCGAACAGTCATTCGTCTCGTTGCTGTTTGGCGGATGATGGCACAGCTCGGGGGCCGTGGTTGCCCACATAGTCAGCTTGCCGCGTTCTGGCACTCCGAGTCGGAAGGTTGTGGGGTCAATTCCCACGTCGTAGCTTGAACTCACATAGTCTAAGCTGACACTCCAGTGCAGTGCTAGGGGTGTGTTCGATTGTCGAAGGTGCCGTCCTTCAGACGAGATATTAAATCCAGGTTGGAGGTTAAAGATCCTATGGCGCGATTGAAAAGAGAAGCGAGTTTCTTCTAGGGTTCTGGCCAACAATCCTCCAGATAAAACTGGTCACTGTTTTTCTGGCTGTTTGTGGGACATTGCTGTGCGCTGTAGTGCTGGCGTGATTGCCTATAAATGCACAGTGGCTCCATTTTACATTAAATCGTGTGAAACGCTTTGAGAGGGCCTTTTCAACTTGAGAAGGCTCTGTCCTAAATGCGAGGATTATCATTTTTTATTATTATTCTCACTGCATTTCAACGTAAATATTGTCGAGCTCCAACAGTAAAAGCAGATTTGCTAATGGGGCGGAAATCACTGCCACGAAATCAACGATACGACATCGCTCCTTTAAGAGGTGGCGGACAGCAGCCTTGTACTGCTCGGAGCTTGAGAGACAATGAGACGTGGGGGAGGAACTTAAAATAAAATCACAGGGACCAGGTTGGTCGGTATGTGTCTGAGTGTAAAGCTGGTGAGATGCCACACAGTGCCGAGCGTTTGTGGAAAAGTTGTGGTCCAGTTTAACGATGCCATCTCCGAGTTGTGTACCACTCTGTTGAAAAGCCTCTAACAGATGACCTTCTGAATCCCCTAATCCCAAACCCACATTCGAAACAGTCGTAGAATCACAGAATTACATGAAAAAAAAATACGCCCTTCTGCTCACTGAGCCTATGCTGGTGCCCGCTCCTCCATTGGAGCTATACACTCTGATCCCAATTCCCTGCTCTTTCCAGTCAACAGTCCTGAAGCAAATGGCAATCAACGAACATAGCAACTCTTGCACCATGAAAGGTTACAACAAACAGTACAGTTACCGATAGAGCCACATGTCGACTGGTGTATATGTTGTGTACTGTGTCTGTGTTATAGGATCTGAGTACTTGTAAATGCTATTTATTGTGAAAAATGTATTTCTAGACAATTGTATCTGGTGAGACACAGTTTAAATACAGTTCAATATTTGCTCCCGTGTCCCCCAGACTCTTATTGAATCCTGTCTGTTTCGTCTTCTGTAACGTGGTAGATTTCTGAGAGTTTGACATTTCTCATTGTCGTGGCTTTCGAGGCCATTGTCTTAAAATGCGGGATCAGGCAGAATTCCCGGAAAATTCTCAAACGTAGCCTGAAACTGTGTTCTGCGGTGATCAAAGAGATCAGAAAACAGGTCCTAGGGACAGGAGTAGGCCATTCAGCCCCTCGAGCCTGTTCCGCCATTCTATCCGATCATGGCTGATCTGTACCTCAACTCCAATTACCCGCCCTTACTTACCCCATATCCCTTGATATCCCTGACCTGAACAATACAAATACAAAAACAAGGTTGAATTTAAGAATTTTCCAAAAATTCTGCACGTCCATAGATTTTAACACAAAGGTCTTAAGGTTAACGGAGTTTGCGAGCGGGTGTAATAGTAATTACGATCAGCATTTGAGGAAACGTGGAACGAGAGGAGGGATCTATCCGCAGTTCGTGAAAAGCGTTCGTCACTTACCAGATCCACGTCACAACATTATTGGATTGAGCGCTGAACGAGATGTGTTTAAAGATTTCCCTTAAAGAGCCTGGAATGTGCGTGTGTTTGTGTGTGTGTGTGTGTGTGTTGGAGAGAGGATGAACTGCAAATCAAGCAGATGGGATTTACGCAGTGTTTTTTCAAGGTGTGATGGTGCTCTCTGCTGGTGTACCACAATAATACATTACATGTGATATTACTCATCACTCCAATTATTTGTGTCTTGTTCAACCCTCACCTTTCCTTCAAATCATCCATCTACACTCGCTTGAGATTCCTTCACCTTTGTGACGTTGGTCAGCTTTGCCATTGCCTCCCTCTTTCCCCCCCCCCCTTCCCACCTTATCCACTCCTTCGTCGTCAACAACTACTTGCGTTTATATAGCGTCCCAGAGCGCTTCACAGTGCCGGAGTTTAACAATGAGCCAGGGGGAAAGATAGGGGGCAGGTGTCCATAAGCACGATCAAAAAGGAAGGTCTTTAGGCGTGATTTGAAGGTGGGGAGGGAGCGAGAAAGGCCTTGATTATCCCTGCTTGTCGGACTCCCCAATTCCTCCTTACACGAGCTGTAGTCCGTCCAAAACTCTGCAGCCCATGTCCTCTCCCTCACCATGCTCTGCGAGCCCATCACCTCCATCCTCGCTTGACTGCCCCCCCCCACCCCCGGCTCCTCCGTCACCCAGTAGATTGAAATGAAGTTCTTTGCCCTCACTTTCAAATCCCTTCATGAATGTAGGACATTTAAGAAGTGAAATGGCAATTAAGAAAGAGCCAATGAAATAGAAGAAGGAAGTATAACAGGATCCTGGGAAAGGGAACCAGGGTGTGGGTTTATGGCTGCAGTGATTATTGGGAGAATGGAATGACAGGATGGAGTTACTGAATACACCAGTGTTGTGGATTGAGAATCATTACAATAAATGTAAGTCCTGCTGTGTAAAACACTCCCTCTGTTACAGGTACTGAGTGGTGGAAGGATGAGATACTGATCTTTCACCTCTGTGATTTGTGTTTGAATCCGGTGCAGACAGGTGAGCTGAAAGTTTCCTTCTATTTGTCTCCTTGTGTACCTTAAGGGTCCTCTGTGACACAAATCAGCAACAGACTTGTGCCTTGTTGTGCAATTATTGGATTCTGAGGGACAGAAAAACATTTGGAAAGGAATATTGATCCAGGATTACATAATGTTTGAATGGAATATGCAGAGGGAATATTGATACACCTCTCTCCCCAGGGGTTGGAGAAAGTCTGGTGTGGCCTCACCCCCTCCCTTGCCTCCATTCACGCCTGTCTCAAGACCCTCCTCTTTGACCACGCCTTCGGTCACCCTCCTAACCCTACTCTCCCTGCTCTCCACCCCCTCTGATCCCGAACCCCAGCTCGGATCCCTGACTGTCCAGCTTCTCGGGATGTCCTTCTGACGTGAAAGGCGCTGTGCAAATGTGATTTATTATTGTTGTCGTTGTCGTCCTTGCAAGGTGGAAGTTGTAGGCTTGAGAGCATTTTCTTGTTAGCGTTCATTTATGCTACACTGGCCCTCATGTGAGTTATTCCTCATTGCCGGGTTAAGAGCGCTTCTGCCACCAGAGGACAGCAAAGAACCGTGTTCGGATAGAAAAAGCCTCGGACCAACTCTTCATTTTTCTTTACTTGGAGAGTCTGCATTGTATAACAGTTCATTAATAATTATCCAGTACTTGCATTCGATATAGCATTTTATCACTTCATTCAGACGTTTCAAAAGTCCTTCACACGATTACTG